AAATTGCTGCCTGAGGAATAAAAAATTTGGCTACCGGAATCACGGACTGACGTTTGAAGTCGACATAAAAGTTGTGATGTTTTAGTTGCCCACAATGAAATGAATGGATTTGAACAGTTTATGGGGTGCCAACTATCGTCGACTTAGGCTTTGATCTGACCTATAACCAACTGGTACCCTGAAAAGGACTTAAAACCGAGAATAATGCATCTAGCGGCACCATTAGACCATATTGCCCTTATTTTAGTAAATCACAGGAAGGATATGACCTTCAACGCAGGCTAAGATTCACACAATACATACATAAAACATGAAACTGGTGTCGAAATAACAAACTTATATTTTCCCTTACTCTAGACGATCTTATTAGTTTTGCTAATATAATAGAATAATTATAATAGACTAATAATAGCCCTGTTACGGGCACAAGAATCTCCGTAAGCCTTTTTTGCGATAAAAGGCCTGAAACTAGAGCTTATGGGGAACAAATGAGGTGTAGAAGTTGCTTGATCTTGCGCATATTGAAAGGAAGACCTACAGGACACGCAGCTTGTCCATAGTATGCATGATCATTTCCAAAGTAGGACCGTGCACTTGGTACATTCCAAGACGTTTCGCCAGCATCGTCAGTGAGCCTTGTCACTCTTAGCACCACACCGTAACTCGTCAAAAGGACAAGTGAAGTCGATCCTTTGACCAAATGTGTACTAAACAGTTGTGATATCTCTCTTTCTGTCCTGGGCCATTCACCTTTCCTATATCCTCGTATCACCCCTTCATTATCACCATTTGCTACTTGTTTATCTAAACCTATTTGAAATATTTTCCCACTCCCCGCTGGTTTACTCATCCCCCCCAATGTGCCGGGAGTGTTGATCCAAGGCTGCGGTTTAATCCGCAATCCTCTCTCTTCGGGTCCTATCAGAGTCCCCTCCTGCTCCATAGGATCCTTCCTTTGTCTGTCTGTTTCAGTGATTTCACCCCATCGCTGCTAGTCAAGGCGTTATAATCGACACTCTGCCTCGAGCCTTTGATACCACGTATACACCAACCTCACTGAACAATCCCCTAAAGTCCGAATTCTTATTTGACATGGCAACCTAACTTGACGTTGCAGATTGCCTTATCGCTGTGCGGTATGGGCACCGAGTAAATCTCGTCGTCAAGCCTTTACGTCATGGACCACGTCTATGAGCAAACTTATCTACTAAAATGCCAACTAGAAACGGCCACTACCGTTTCTCTCACTCTTCTATGACCTTTTATTACGGGCCAACCCCCAAATGTAATGGTTCTACTTGATTTAAACAGTTTCACTGTAGATGTTTTCTCTTGGTTTCCGATTGATACTCTCTGGTCTCCTTGCAATTTTGTTTCCTAAAATTAAAGGTATTACTTTTTTCAAGTCGTATTGCTGTTCCATGATATTCTTTGAGTTTGTTTAGGCAGTATGCAAAGTTTTCGCTAATCCCGCCTTCTTCAAACCCTCTGTTGATTAGGTTTCTTTCAGTCGGGATATCATCGGATTCTTGTATCTTATTTTATAATGTGTTTCCACCATATGCGTTTCCACTCGATTTCGAATCCCGTTTGTGCGATCTGTTCCGCTATCTAGGATCTTTCAGTGTCAATGTTTCTGTATAGTTTTTGTTGTAGACTAATTTTTTTTCCTGCTTCACCAACATTATTCAGCTGACAGTTACCGCATTTGATGCCATAGACGACCTAGCAATCCAGTTTGTCGACAGGCTTGTGAAGAGTGTTGTCTATTCTTTTGTTATCACCTTGATATTCGATTGTCGCAATTTCTGGCTCAGTCCACAGGATGGCAGGCATACTCACTTTTTGTCGTCCTCCCGAGTTCTGATCTTATTTTTATAAAATCCTAGTTTAAATCTGCTCTTTACTACCTTTATATTACTTTCCATTAATTCTCTGTGGTACCTGTCCCTAAGGCAAATCCAAGTCAGTTTCTCCAACTCCTTGTTTCAGAACTCAGTGTCCATTAGCCTTAAGATTTTAATGCTCATACTTTTCATTATTCCGATCTTAAATCTGTAGTTGTGATGAGGCTGGAAATCGAGGTTTATTCCCTACACATATGATTTCTATCTGAATAATCTCCTCTTGAGAATCCCGTTGCTAGCACGTGCACAGTGGCAGTGATGGAGTGACATCACTGAAACAGGCGGACAAGGGAGGAATCCTAGGGAGCAGGAGGGGACTCTAATAGGACCCGAAGAGAGAGGATTGCGGAGAGTGTGAATAGATTTCAAATAGGTCCGTTTAAACAAGTAAGAAATAGTGATATTGTAAGGGGTGATATGAGGATATATTAAAGGTGAATAGCCCAGGACAGGGAAGATACCACAAATGTTTAACACAGATTTGGTCAAAGGATCGACTACACTTGTCTTTTTGAAGAGTTGTAGTGTGGTGCTAAGAATGGCAAGTCTCACTGACGATGCTGGCGAAACGTCTATGAATGTACCAAGTGCACAGTCTGATTCTGGAAATGATCCTGCCTACTATGGACTTTGGACAAGATGTGTTCCTCCAGGTCTTCCTGTCAATATGACCAAGCTGCGAAAACAAGGTCAAAGAACTTCTATACAACGAAAGGAGACG